AACCTGATCGTAGGTCTATTTTAGAGAAGACCTTGTTCAATCCTCTGTAATCAATGCACAGTCTCAACATTCCATCTCCCTTCCTCGCAAAAGTGACTCCGGCACCCCAAGGGGACACAATGTGTCTAATAAAACCACTATCTTGCAATTCAGTGATCTGTTTCCTCAACTCTTCCATCTCAATGTGGCTCATGCAGTAAGGAGCAACCGAAATAGGCTGGGTACCTGGCTGTAGGTCTATAGTGAACTCGACTTCTCTGTCCACTGGCAGACCGGGCAGTTCGTCCGAAAATACATCTGGGAAATCTCGGACTACTGGAATCTCTTGAATAAAAATTTCCTTCTTAGGCTTGCCTAGTCAGAGAAAACAGTAAAATTAAGGCACTAGAAGTTAAAAAAACTTGTCATCAAGGAATAAGTACTGAATAATTTTATTAATTTATAAATGGCTCCTCGTTAGGAGGATTAAATACAACTTTCTTGTTAAAGCAATATATGGTGGCGTGATACGCCGCTAGCCAATCTATCCTAAGATTAAATCAAAATCCCCCGTGTCTAACCCTATCAGGTCTACACTCAGTTTTCTATTTGTTATCTCCACGGCACAAACAACAATGAATTAAGTTTATCAGGTGATACATTAATTTTGGAAATAAAAGCATGTGAAACAAAAGAGTGCGATACACCAGTGTCAAATAAAACATAAGCAATATGGTCACAGATGATATACATACCCTGTACCACATCCGGATCGGCGTCGGCATCCTGCTGGATAAGGTTGTAAGCTTTGCCCTGGATAGGAGGTCTTCCTTGATTCTGGTTCCCCGGGCATTCTCTTGCATAATGCTGAGCACTGCCACAAATGCGACAAGTGTTGTTGAGGCGGTGAAGGGTCGGTCTCCGTGATCTCTGCCGTAGTGCTGCAGATCTTCCCACGTGCTGCCTCTGGAGCCTGAGGAGGGGCTTGGATGGCTGGTCTGGGCCTCTTATTTGGTTGGGTAGGCGCAGTAGGTGCTGGCCTGCGGAACGGAGCTGAGGGTCGGGAACTGTCTCCTGGCTGAGGACGGGTGCTGAAGCTTCTTTCCACGATCTGTGCCTTTGCTAGGACTGCTGAATATTTCTTGAGCTCCAATACTAACAAGTGTTGCCTGATCTCTGGGCGGAGACCCCACTGGAATCTCCTGGCCTTTCGACCCTCATCCATCAATGTCTCCAGGGAGTATCGGCCCAGCTCTAGGAACTTACGAGCATATTCTGATACTGTCATGTTTCGCTGAACCAGTTGAACAAATTCCGTTTCCTTTAGGTGTTGGATGTGCTCAGGGAGATACTCCGCATGGAAGGTCGCTAAGAACTGCTCCCAAGTGACTGGTTTAGGCAGGGTGGTCTGCTTGAGCTCCCACCAATGACCTGCTTCCCCTACCAGCATGTAGAAGCAAGGGCAGCTCTCTGCTCAGGAACTACTCCCAAAGGTCCTGAAAGCTCTCTCAGTCTCCGCCAGCCAGTACTGGGCCTCTTCAAAAGAGGACCCCCTGCAAAGGTGGAGGGGTTCAGTCTCCTGTACCTCTCTATGTAGCCTGGTTGATCAAGGAATGA